GCTCCTCCAACCAATCACAGACAGAGTCAAGCATCTCAAGATAGCGGGAAAACAAGACGCTGCTGTGACTTTAGCTCTGCAGGAAATGATGAACGATCATGTGATGCAGCGAAACAGAGGTTCACATCAAAACACAACAATCGTCTGTATGAGTGCTGATCTTTTTCATTATAAACTGCAGGATTGCTGTAAATGTTATGCTTAAGAAAAATATGTATATTGTATATCTGTGTAAATCTGTATATTGTTACAAATACATTTGTAAATGTTGTTAAAAAACAAATAAACAAACCAAAACAAAAAACCAAGTACCAAGTGTGATCCAAAAATGAAGAGACTCAGAGTTTAATTAATTTTAACGGAAAAAAAATATTTCATAATTTTATAACTATTGCATTGTAACATAAAATCTGCTCAAAAAAAAAACTACAAATATTATTGAACAAAAATGTATTACATTGATTTTCCTACAAAAAAAAAAGCACCAAGTGTGACCCAAAAACACAGACTGTAAAAAAACATGGACGTACTGTCTGTGACATCACTCATAGGGTTCAGAAGAGCATTTTTGAAGCCTAAAGTGGGCGGAGCCGACCGCCGCCATCTTGGCAGTGTGCCACCGCACGTCACTCCCGGATAATCGAAAATGGGCAAAAAGGCGGGACGTGGGTGAAGCAGTCTATGGTGACAGCAGTGCTGCCGTGCAAAGACAAAACACCATAACTTCGTTTTTGGTCGAAATGAGTTATTGATACTTTTGGGACATATATGACCTCCTTTATCATGTGTGTAAGTATCTTGAGAAAAGCCCCGGAGAAACCAAGGCAGAACACAGTATCATCAGTTACCGCTCTTTGACTTTGTTTTAGATCGCTCAAATTAAGTTACGGTGTTTTGCATTTGTTTAGCCGTTCGTCAATATTACTGTGCCAGCCTGGAGTTATGGTATTTTGCCTCTGTTTTTACTGTACATTAAAGTCTGCCGTGTTTAAATTACGGTGTGACTTGTGTACTTCCATACATCTGTCGGCACTTCTTTAGCCAAACAGATCACGATCTAACAAACTGCTCCATATAACAAAGCACTGTAAACAAGCAACGACTAGATAGCTTGGAAACAATCATTTTTTGTTTCTTTTTATAATGCAGATGCCAGCTCTCAGTCTGGGACTGCACACTTCTGCACGTGTGAGGAGTCGAATGCCATGACAGCGTATCACATAAAATCAGTTACTGTACGCAATTAAATCCGTTTCATACCTTTTCTTGTAACTCGATAAAAAACATTGCAATGAGCATCATCGGAGATGTTTAATTCACAATCATTCTGAGCATTATTCCTGCTGGCGTTCACATCAATCCACAAGTCGTTCTAAGGTTAAGCTATTTTCATTCAGTTCGATGTAAAAACAATATGCTAAGTATGTCTTGCATCCTTTAATGTTAGCGAACATTGCAAATAAATTGGTTGCAAAACGGTATCCACTCACGTTTAACTTTTTGTCTGGTTGTTACGGTCAGAAAAAAAACTGAATTACATTACTATATGTTATAGCCTAGCCAATGATCACTAGATTTTATACAGATGTTACTATAATCATTCTGTAAATGGTGATCAGCACCCAAATATTGTGGAAGTTACTGCCTTTTGCCTTGGCGTGACATCTCACTTTTTGCAGACAGTGCAAAGGCAGAGTACCTACAAAATAGCGGTAAAAATCAAGTTTGAGATCATTTTCATTAAAACATCTAATTGCCAGATTTCCAGTGTCCTACCCATAATTAATTTTTTAATTACAGGCCGACTCTGCCATCATTTCCACACTCTCCTCGTTGATCAATACTCGGGCTGATGCACTTGAAGGAATGATTAGCGCCAATGCTCTGAAGATAGAAGGGCTGAAGAAAACGGTATAAGTACAAGATTTAAAGAAGAGTGTGAAAGATGTAGATTCCAGACTTAAAGATCAAGAACGTCTCACGGGCACCTGGGAAACACGCATTTCTGATCTAGAGAGATACTCTCGCAGGTGGAATTTGAGATTGTTTGGAGTGCCTGAGACTTTCAAGGAAGATATAAGATCCGAGGTCATTCGAATCTGCAGCCAGACTTATCCCGAGGCCAAGAGCAGGTACCCTGATGTTGTTGACACTGTGCATCGGCTAGGGAGGAGAGGTGACAGCACAAAACCTTGCACCGTTATCATGCACTTCACCTCACGGGTTATCTACGATGCCTTATGGAAAACTGCCAAGAAGTCCCAGTTTCTCAAAGACAACAACCTGCGCTTCGCAGAGGATCTGACTTCGCTGGACCGGGAGAGATGGAAGAGCTTGTGGCCCAGAGTGAGAGAGGCGAGGGCTACTGGAAAAATGGCCTATTACGTCGGAGCGCGTGCGTTCATTGAAGGTGTGGAGATTGCTTTGTGAGTTCCATCATGAGGATCGTGTGCTCTTTTCTAAGATTGTGACTGTTAACTGTCACTATTGCATTTGAGCTATCATCATATTACAGCTGGACCTTTAAAATGATCATTGAAATTGGTCAGTTAAGCTCTGTTCATCTCAGTTTTCTTTTCATCTATCAGTCAGTTTTGATGTTTTGCCTTTGTTTTGATTTGTGTTAACAGCAGTTCATTGCTGTTTGTTTATCAATGTCGATATTGTTCATTTCTCTTAATGCCAGGGGTCTAAGAAACAATGTGAAGCGCAAAGCCCTCTTTTTGTTTGTTAAAAACCATGGATCAGACTTTTGCTTTTTTCAAGAAACCCATTCCACACAGGACAATGAGATCCCAGTGGGGCAGTGATGTATGGATGTCGCACGGCACAGAGCGATCAGCAGGTGTCACCATTTAAAAAAAATAAGTTTGCTGGTGAGATTCTACACGTTGTCAGTGATCCAAAGGGTCATTTTATCTTGTTAGTGGTTTCACTTGGTCAGACCATCTCAGTTTTATTAAATGTGTATGGGTACAATTCTTCTATAGAAAAAAACACTTTAATGGACATGATCAGTGAAAATATTCAGTACTGGTTAAATAAATACCCCAATGCTGTTCTTATTTTAGGTGGGGATTTCAATATGGTTTTAAATAGTGATTTAGATAGGTTTACCCCTAGAGCTGCTTCTATAAGTCCAATTCTGAATAATTTCATGTTGCGTTTTTGTGTTGTTGATATATGGAGAGAAATATATCCACAGTAGAGACTCTATTTTTGGAGTAGCAAGGACCGTTCTAAGCAGTCCCGAATAGATTACTGGCTTATTTCCCAAAGCCTAGCAAATACACTGAACAAAATTATAAACGCAACACTTTTGTTTTTGCCCCCATTTTTGTGGCATATCAAGATGCTGATTAGACAACATGATTATTGCACAGGTGTGCCTTAGTCTGGCCACAATAAAAGGCCACTCTAAAATGTGCAGTTTTATCACACAGCACAATGCCACAGATGTCGCAAGTTTTGAGGGAGCGTGCAATTGGCATGCTGACTGCAGGAATGTCCACCAGAGCTGTTGCCCGTGAATTGAATGTT